ATCGATTCTTGTGTTCTGCATTAAACTATTTATAGTTTAAGGGCCTGGTTAGAAATGTTGCCTTAGACTAGGAATAGTTAAGAGTTGTTATGTAATGATTTGGCTTTAGATTAAGAATAATTTGAGAGCATTGTTGAGATATTGAATATCAAATGACTTGAAATAAAATATTGAGAATATCATGAATGTTTGAATTATATATTGTGTGCATGATATCAAATGGTTGATTATGAATCGAGATTCAATTTATGTGGATGTTCGACGCTTTAGATATGCTTACTCAGCTTCACCGCTGAGCGTGTAGTGTGTTTTATTTGCTACACGCAGGTAGGCAGAATGAATGATTGGCTGATTCCTGGCAGCAGAAGGGGCGAGACAGTCGTGGTAGATTATTGAATGAAATAAATAATTATGTTGTTATGAGACATATTTTAAAGTCGCTTCCGCATTTTATTTAAACACTCCGTATTTCTTTACAATTATGTATGGAATATTATTTATAAATAAAAATGTTTAAAATGTTTTAAATTATCACGATTACCAAATCAATACTTTAGTCCGAAAGGGGCTGCAGACCTGGACGGATTAGGGTGTTACAAATACTACTTACGAGCTTATTGTCATTCGCGGCCGTCACGGTGGGTGGGGTTTCTTCCATGGGCTGAATTGGCACTTAACTGTACATTCCATGACGGTCTCAACACGACGCCGTTTCGTGCTCTGTACGGTCGAGAGCCCCCTTCTCTTGTGCCATATACGACGGAGACAAGCTCGGTCCAGACCGTCGATGATCAATTGACAGAACGAAGGGAGCTATTACGTCATCTCAAACATAATTTAAGGATAATGCAGCAACAAATGGCCGCTAGCGCAAACATGCATCGTCGTCATCTGGAGTTTAAAGTCAGGGATATGGTACTTTTGAAGTTGCAGCCCCACAGGCAGTTTTCCGTGGCTGAAACCAAGTCTGCCAAGTTGGCCAGACGCTATTATGGGCCGTTTCCCGTGATCGCGCGCATTGGAAACGTAGTGTATCAGCTGCAATTACCGAAGGGATCCAAAATACACAATGTTTTTCATGTTTAGGGGTGGACACGGTACGGTTTCGGGACGGTTCCGGTTCCAGAACCGCCGGTTCCGGTACCGCCACCCCATGTAACCGGAACCGTCACCGTGCCGGCCGGTACCGGTTCCGGTTCCCGGACCGGCGGTTCAGGTATTGGACCGGCCAGGTTCGGCCCCACCTATTTTTTTTTGCTTTTTTTTTTAAATTTTTAAAGTATAAAATTGTAAATTAGCAATTGTTTAAGGAAAGAATGAAATAAAAAATCTAAAAATGTAGTTGTTATTTAAATATTGAAAATGAGTAATACACTAACTGAAGAACAACCACATTTAATATCCTGACGGTTCAAAAAAAGCGACGAGGTAAAGAACCGTAAAGAAACCCTCGAAGGAGCTTATATATCGCTCACCTAAAAAAATTAATTACATATTTACATTAACATAAAAAAAATTTATAACTTATTCTTCAGAACTCGGACTTCCGTCTGTGGTTGCATTCATGTAATGCTCCGATTCGAGTTGGTACGATGACTCTTGAGCCCGACGTCTTGCCAAGAGCCAATCTTGGTTGCAAACCAGTGTTTCAAGAGATTCAGCGTTAAGACAACTTCGGTAGTCGGTTAGAATGTTGCCGCCAGCACTGAATTCTCGTTCAACTGCTACGGTTGATACTGGGAC